CCCGTCTTAAAGACCGTGTATAGAAGGATGCAGTGAGGGCCGTCCTACTCTATAAGTGTGACATTTGGCCCCTCCGATTCGAGGACCTGCGGTGCCTTCAGTTCTTTGCTCATCATTGTCTGCGAAGCATTGCTGGTGTCGGATGGCACCAGCGTGTCCGCATCGATGATGTACGCAAGCGAGTACTAGGCAGTGATAACCAGGCTATTTCCTTAGAACAACAGACAGCCCGGAATAAATTACGTTGGCTTTGGCACGTACTATGTGTGCTTGGTCATCGCTAGATGTAGGGTAGCGCCAGTGGACTTACCAGCGGGAAATGAAGTTACTGACGACCAAACTTGGTACCGTTGGTGCGTCTGCCTTTCCACGATGTAGTCCACGTGAGCCACCTTGTGCTTGGCTCGAGACGTTACAGGACATGGCTCGCAGTTGACACCAACGGCGTGTCTGCTGTGGTATCCTAGCCGGGTCACCTGTTTAAATTTTGTATGGTGCTGAGTTATCTGCAGGGTACTGGCTGTTTATGAAGCGGAGCAGTGAAGGCCGCAATGAATTCTCTCGCTGATGCCAGCTTATGTTTGCACGTTAGCCTACTGTTCGTGATGATATGTTATTGACAAAATGCAGACGCCTTGACCTCAAGCATTTGTTTATAGCATTACTGTTTTATCTTAGATCCCCTCTTCTCTCCCTCTTATTCCTCGTTCCGTTGGTCGCCTTGGTTGTGCGGCAGCATAGCATCAGTTCAAGTGGCTGATGTACTACTACTGCTGTTGTTGTTGATGCATGAGATCGCCTCACAGACTTCTTCGCTTCTCGTTCTTTGTTGTACGACATGGATTCTCCCATTGTAATCCACCATTCCTTAGAAATTCGTTATCGTTTTCTTTGGCTCATATTGCTAGCTCGAGTACGACTATCGTCTTTCTTTTTGGTAACGCTCCGTTACTACTCCAGAAGTGACGCAAAGCAATGGTTCTCTCCCTCGTCAGGGCAATATAGTTCGTAGTTCATTTCATTTCAGCCTATCTTTCCGTTTAAACTGCGCCCCTTTATCAATTAATAAACGGCCGACATAGCCACTATGCAGGTGATGGCGTAGCTGATTCCGCTAAAACGATAGCTTCTGGTAACAGGCCAAATTTTCTATTTATCAGCCATGAGAACACGGATTCCGATCACACTGACGCCATCCGGTCCGATGATTCCCAAAGTCTGGAATGAACGACGTTTTACCATTCTATGAGCAAATGCATCATCGAACCAAACACTCTAGCTTCCCCTAGGTTTCGTTCTCCAATTTCCTCGATGAGTTTGGTTTTTAACCCCCATCCGTCATTTCAGGGCTACCGACGGCGTGCTTAGAAACCTGCTCATCGCACCATTTCACTCTAGGTCTCCTTTCCGCACGCACGCGCCTGTTCCTCTACATACCTTATGTGTTTGGGATTGGTGTTGATCAGCACTGGTGGGACACATGATCGAAATCTGTAGACGCTAAACGACTCCGTCATCGCCCTTCTCATAGTGCTTTGGTCATCATCCAGCCCCCATCACCTGTTCTCTCTCAGTGCTTATTTTATAAATGGCACTTAATTATGCTACTGGGTACTTCAGCTTTGGGATTCCCCATGTGTTGCAAGTGTGTGTAACTATGCCTTCCCATTCGTTGTGAGTTGTTTCCCCCTGAGCTGAGGGCTAGCCATCGTTGTGTTGTTCATTCATTGGCCTGCTAACAGCCTATTGTTAAAGTCCCATCCGTTCCTACCTGTCATTGTCTCCGACACGTTCTTCATTGCGCACGCAAAAATTGAATGTATGATACTTCAGCTGCTGAACCATGCACCATATTGTGTTCTAGCTTTCTAACTTCAAATGATTGAACTAAACAGTCTATACACCTTAGTCATGGAGCTTTGTGACAGACGAGCGAACAACACCTCATTGGTTTTTATGCCCTAATGGATACACTCCCAGAACTTTAAACTTCCGGCAACGTAAATGCTAAGTTAGCATTATCAAAATGCTAGAATTTTATGGCTGGAAAACTATGTACTCTTACCACGGGTAGACGGTCTCACTCTACATCGGTGACTTTTCTCGGGTAAACACGCAAACGTGGCGCATACAACACTGAGGAATAATGGAACTCAAACTTCAGTGCATGTAGGGTAAACAAACAATGCTTTTGATAGCTCAACATGAAGTGGGCGCAGTGAGTCATTTGGAACCTTGAGAGAGAAGCTGCTGCATTAATCTGTATGCTTGCTGACACGAAATTCAAACACAAACTCCCTAGCTAACGCGCTGCATCTGGAAATAAGCCTAATCCACCGTGCAAGTTAGTGGTTGCCCTTTTAGAGAAACGCATAGGAAACAGTGGGAGAATCGTATAAACGACGAGAGAGAAAGCACACAGTCACGAATGCAGAGGCATATAAAGTAGCCTACTTCACTAAACCTTTCGCTAACACGTATGGGTCAAGATAACTACTGGAATATTATCAAGGGCAATGTCGCAGACGTTTGTGCGGCCTGTATTTAATGATTCCGTTCACTGTGCCATGTCGGCGAGTTCTGCCTTTTATCTTACTTAGTAAAGCGGGGTTTGTATCCTGTTGACAAGACAGCTTCAAGAGTCGACTTACGAACCATCACTATACGTTCTCATTTTACTGAAACGTTTCTCGACAATGTTGTTATTATGGCTGACATCAGTTAGCCCCAGGCAATATCTCGAAGCTTTTGCAAGCATCGACAGAGCAGACCAGTATGCATGACATTAGCAATATTTCAAAGGATGCAGAGAAAAATTGTTAACTCCCAGTTTCATCATCATCATTACACGTTAAGACGAGAAACACACTTCAGCTATTGTGCCGCAGTGAATTCAGATGTGTTAGCGTAAAAGCGAAATTTCAGCGTAAACTACTCTAACCGATTTAAAAGCACGCGTCCACTAATTGCCTCAACGAAACTCATCTGCCATCTCTCGGATGATCATTGCCCATAGACCTTAACGCCTCCACCCGCTTATTGCTGCTGGAGCACAATGTTTTTTTGCATTCATTCTTTCGTTCCTCCTTACCTTACTGAATGAGTTTTTGTCCTACCATCCGCACACTTTCGCGCTCTTGGCTCTGATTTCATCTAAGGAAGATGGGCGTTGCCTTCTGCATTATTTTTGGCCCCTTTCCAGCTGAAGAGCCCGATTTGCGTATTACCTAGATCCACGACCGACACACCGACTTACCACAACACGACACTAACACATGGTTACGCTTCCGTGATTCGTTTAACGGAGTGATGTACAACGTACTCATTTGGATAATAGTAATAATAAGAGGAAGAACAGTAGCAATATCACTCAACAGTGACTGTATTCCCTTATTTTTTACCGGTACCTTACCTGCGTGTAACTGTCAGGATCCCATTAACGTGAGAGAAGTTGCCTAATGTACCACCAAAATGGGCGATGGAAATACTGAAGATCAAGATATCTGCGGCCTGCCAACAGTACTACGAGTGAGCGAGTGAACATTTTAGCATCAATATATCACGCGCCAGACTCCAACGCTTGGGCCACGTGTTGCGCATTCCAGCACACCGATTCCCTTGTCGTACGTTGTTTGCGCGCCCGGGGTGTGCATGGAAGGAGGGGGGGGGAAACCAAGTGATGACTTGGTCGAGAAGAATTAAAATCCTCATTTCGAACTTGGCGTCGGATGGTGCATCCGACTGCCGGGCTGGGGTCCGAAAGACGATGAACACGTTTGATTGGATACATTTGTTTACTTAGCTAGGAGCCGGTTCCAATGGCGTTTGTGTTGTTGGTTCCTTTGTCGATCCTCTCCCTTCTAGATTCCCCCTCTATTTACGGTCTCATTCCGAATGTATAGTGTGATATTTAACATTATATTACTTATGAGCTTTTTGTGTTCTGTTACTTTTATTATCCTATCCTTTTATTGCTTCACCTTAGTTGAGGTGTGTTTCTTACCCTCAGCTAACGTGTACTGCTGCTGCTGCTGCTGCTGCTGCTGCTGATGATGATGCTGATGATGATATACTCACGAACAAGGTATCAACGTTAGCGCACCGTCGCGACGCTTCGCTTCCACGCGACCACCATCAGTCGCGCGAGGGTTGGGTATACCGCTAGGTCACTTGCGCCTACGCGGATTGGAGCCGGCGACCTCAGGATTACAATGTTAGCGTGCAATGTCTTCAGAACTAACGGACAACTGTCTATTAGGCAAACAAAGCGGATTCAGTGAGACAGTTTCCTTGTGGCGCGACTAGAATTTACCCTAACGTGTTGCGACGGTTCGCCTATCTCCAATCCATTAATATATATTTGGTTGCACTCTTTGGCCGCTAGAGAGCTACTTCTACCAGTTTGATTGTTGGCTAGAGGTCAAGCTAACCCAGTCTCATAACTCTCCGATGTGAGAGTTGGAACTGTAGTTCTATGAAACTGAATCATTTCTATCTTCCCACCTAGCACTGAGCTTCGTTCATCCGGCTTATAACGACAGGCTCAGCGAAACGAGGGAGCGGGTCGAAACCAAGCCGACCTCTTTGACCACTACGTCTCTACCTGTTGAAGGAGTTAGCAAATAACGCGAGCGTGGAGGTCATGAAGTGGGGATACTGGACGTTTCGCATGAAATTCACTTTTGTGCATCTTCCTCCACATTCATACCTGTTCTTCCCACGTTACCATCCTCCGTCACATTGGGATACTGACAGTTAGTGACTAGTGTAGTTACTATGCATTTCATCGTTATTGGCTTCCTCATTTGAGTTGCATAGTTATCCGACTTTCTTATCCTTGCACCCACGTGCACGTGTCTATATCGTGTTCGTGCGTGACATCCGTAACTGTAGATGACGCTATCTGCTTTAGTGCTCGCACCGGTGGTCTCTCGTTTCTTGACCTAGACAACACTAACGTCCGTAGTAACCTTGTCTATCAAATGTTTCCCTCTTTTTAGACAGGAAAGTGCCTCCCATCGAGACTGTGAGCTTCCTCCGGTGAGTTTGCGCTGATCTTACTTTTCTGAACTCTTTCGTTCACTTCAAATCTGCTCACACTCCCCTTTTGCCTTTTTGTCACTAGGTCCCCCCTGGTGGAGAGATCAAACAACAATCGCGTTACTCGATCTGTGATGATTTACCATCTGAGTCGGATGGTCTGTATGCAAGTGTCGGCCATTCTGGCAACGTGCGTTCGGGCCTGCAATGCGAGGAACGTTCAATCAACGCTGCTGCTGCTGCATCCTCAGGTAGATCCACCGACACTTTTCGTATATGTTTACTATATTTTTCTGTCGCTCTTATCCGAATCAAAGTTGTTTTCCTCAAATATACAAAATAACCTGAATTTATTACGTGTTAGGTGTTACCTATTTATTCACAACTCTGGTCCGCGTAACCATACGCGGCTACTTAAATTCCATCTGTAATCCAGTGGAGGGCAACCCTGAAGATTATCATTGTTCCAAAACGTGTCTGTTGCATACGTGCGACCAGCTTCTGGAGCCCACCCATTTTACTTGTTACAAATTCCAGTTACTCGCTATTTCGGTGCGTAGTTTTAGAAGTTACGTGGGGCTCAAAAGCTTTTCCAGTACTTGTTTCAGACTGTTTCTCATGGAAATGTATCTTCTGCCTGGCACCGTGAGATGCAGGCGGTGCCTATTATCACAATCTCATCAGGGATGAGATCACATGCACTGCATCCAACAGATGTTCTCAGCGGTGTTTCTTCTGGTCATCTTTTCATTCTGTTATCGCAACGAATTGATTTTCAATCACTTGTAGTTGAGATGGGGCACTTAATTTAGGTAATTTATTATCTGGAAAGTCATGTGTCATCATAGTTGAGGTTATGTGTGTCGAATCTTTCCTCCCCAGGGATTGACTGCCCGCAACATGACCATCATTTCGATGGCGTTATTTTACTCACTGTGCGGATGTCAAACGAAAGTATGGGAAATGATCGGATTCCCCGTCTCCACACTGAGCTCCTATTCTGAGCAGGAAAATGTGGCCTGAAGTATATTTCTCCTTCTGTGTGTATTTCGCGATTTCTGCCTGGGATAGCAACACCAAATTTTGTGCTTAAAGTAAATTACCTGTTCCGCATTTGTGCCTCCACTCCTTGTGTCCACTGAAAAAGACAAACGCGCTTTTTGAGTTTTCCTACCCGATTTTGCTAAATTCTTCCTTGTCTTCCCACTCTTTTCTCAACTGTGTTGAGATGTTTCCCTTTGATCTCTTCAGTTTTGCCATCAGCGATTCTGTTTTGTACTTTGAATGGCATCAGAATCAGTTTCCTGGTCGATTTATCTTGTCTCGCCTTGGTAAATAAATAAATAAATACATAAATACTGGGTCTATTCCTCGACTGTGCGAGGCACAGTCCAAATGATTAGTCTGAGCATTTTCTGCAACCGGATTGCATGGGGCGGATGAAATTTCTTTGAGTATTTTTTCGGAGTAGTTTCTAAAATATTCTGCAGGGCTGACCGATCGACTGAATCAGTCAAATAGATAGAGAGTTTGATAATAATAATAATGATAATAGTTAATGTAGATAAATGCAAATGATCTTGCGAAGCAATACGGCCAACCGTACAGTCGTCTCCAGGGAACTTGCTTCCATGCAGGGTGGTCTCTCGCAAGGTTTCACCCGCACTTCCATGCCTCATCTGACTGTGTGCTGGCGTGGTTTTAAAGTACGTTTGCCGTCATCCATTTTACTCATCTTTATGACATATATATATTTATATATATATATGCATATATATATGTTGCATTCTTGATGCTTCTTCACCGCAGTTGGGCTAAACCAACTTACACTTAAACTAGGTCTTTTTAAGCTGGATACATTTCATTCCACTTTATTTGGTTTGTTCTGCCTACCTGAATACTCTTCTATTAACTGGCCACGTTGCTTACATTAATTTCGCTTTTCTTCTGTTATTTTGTTGCGTTTTGTATCATTTTTAACTAACTTGTGGACATTTTCCTTATCCCGGATTCGTTACTAACCAACTTACTTCATATGCTTATTTAGCTTAGAGTTATGCCACCGTATCTATATGCATTATTAGATTTGTTTTATTTCATCTTGTCGTTCCAGGTGATTGGCTGTTGCTTAATATCCCCGGTGTGGCTGCGCTTGTTGTGCATGTTGATAAGGTGCCTACCTGTCTATTACCCACTACATCGTTCATACTGGCTCCAGGAGACAGTTGGTCGTTGCTGGAGGGGACGGGGTGCACGGTTCTTGGGGCCGTGTTAGGCTCGAAGAGGGGTTCCATGCACTCAGTGTGGAGCGGACTACGGTCCAGCCACCGCCTTGTGTGCGCTTGATTTCCCAAATACAGCGTGATTGTGTTTGCCTGTGAAGGAGTGTGGACCGGCTCCGTTGATGAAACGTGGTTCCCATCCACATGCCTCCCGGTCTTATTCCTTCGGGTTTACACTGGATATGGGGTGTGTGGTTGGAGCTGTGGGTGGTGCAGCGCAAGCCATCCATTGTCCCTCTGTAGGCGCAGGCGTCCTGTGGCTGGCCACAGTGATAGGCAAATCCGAAACCGGATGCCGCCAACCATATATATGCAGGGATCTGCACATGCGGTTCATTTGCTTATTACACTAGAACGGAATGCCCGTACGTTCTGCATCCAGCCCTAATAAGCGGTTAGTTTGTCCGTTCTGCCATATAGCAGCTGTGTCTCAGCCATTCTTACCCAATGGATGTCAATTTTTCTTTTTTTTTCTCAGGCCAATTGATTTGTGCGGGACAGCGAGACAGCGTCGCGGACTCAGCCAATGCGCCCTACTATTCTAGTGTGGCCAGCGTGCTGGCACCGAACTACTATGGAGAGCTGCCTGAACCCGGTTCCTTGCGGCCATACGATTCTTCAACTCCATTGGGGAGTTCTCAAGTAGGTTTTGACAACGAATTGTTCTTGTGTCTCCGTTCTGTCGTTCGGAGTGAGATGGTTCTACGCATACACTTAACAGGAGTATCTGCTTCTTTAATGTGATCCCTTTTCCTACTTACTTCTGCGTTCCCGGTCTCACTAAATGTTTCCCAGGAAACACTACCGATATACTACCTGCTTTCCATTATAGTCAATCTCCGTGGTTGCAACCAAGACCATCTCGAATCACTCACTCCAGTTTATGCTCATGTTGTAAAGAATACAAAAGCAGCATGCCGGTACACTTTATTAGCATCGCTAATCTCAGACGGGTTCTGGATACCGCTAGTTTTCCCGTAACTTCGAATCGGGGATTTCTGGACTGCAAAACCATTGCCGTACCCACTCAGTCATTGCTCGACAGGCTAATGTTGTAGTAGCGTGCGGCCTATGCGCGATCACATGCTTATATTATTAGCGGATCTCGCGACCTTGTTAGGGAAGTACCTCATCATCATCCTCGTTCTCATCATTATACACGTTAGCTAGAGGTGGAAAGCACCTCGGCCATTGTGCCGCAATGCATAAGAAAAGAAACAAAACATACAACAGTAGCATTTCGGCTGAGTTACCAGTAATGAATGGACATCGTTCCGGGAATCTAACAGCTGGCTATTGTGCCACAAAAAAAGTTATATTATGCCTAGTAAATGAGATCGTGTTTGTAGAGAGAAGCTGATTGGTAGCGGAAGAATCAAAGAAACTCACAACACAAACGCCACTGACCTCGGCTCCTAGGCATGTCAGCCAAACGTCTTCATCGTCTTTTGTATCCCAACCAGAGAGCCGAGTGCATCCAACCGAGGCCAACTTCAGAGTGAAGGTCATCACTCCTAATGACCAATTCATCGCTTGACTCTCCTCCTCTTCTTCCATCCATAACTCGGTCGCGCAAATAACGAACGTCGCGGAAGTCGGTGGGCTGGTGTGCGCGAAACATGGTCCAGCCATCGGATCCTGGTGCGTGAAATAACTGTTCTGAGCGGTTCTCTTCTTCCTGTGCCATAAACAAGGCGTCGAACACGCTCATTGCTCACACAGTGTTCCCACCAGAAATGAGCCAAATTGCGAAGGCACCGGTTTTCGAACGTGCTTAGCATCTTTAGGTCTGCCGATTTAAGAGAACAGGTTTCACGACCGTACAGCAGAGTCGAGCGTACCGTTGCATTACACACTCTACCCTTCAAAAAGAAAGTGATGTCGAAGGTTAGATGATGGCGCAGGTTAACAAAAGCATCTTGTATTTTTGCTATACGGTTTGTGACTTAGTCATCAATTTCAGCGGCGCTGTTACAACTGCCCAGGTAGTTGGATTTTTGAACTACTTCAAGCTGATCCCCACCAAGGGTCTGCGTAGGAGGCAGCCTGTGTCAATCTTAGAGGGAAATTTTACACTTCCACTGTGGAAGTTCAGTACAGCTGATCAACTATGCTCCGAGCAGTAATGTGTGACGGATCCAGTTGCCACGACTCACCTCGCAAGATAACAAAAAATAACCACGGCAAGATAGTGGGGCTAAAGTCACATAGAATGTAAAGGACCTAGAAGCAAGAAGGACGTGCGTTAGACTAATTAGGATGGAACGGGAATTAACAACCAGCTGCAAGGAAACGAATGCAGGAACGTCACTGACTGCGTTACTGTACCATGTCTAACACGGTCTCCAACAATCGGTGTGAACCATCCAAAGGGTGCAAGACGAAGCCCGAAACGGCTGACAGCCAGTACTTCTCTGTCCAGGGCACCTTGATACGTGTGTGTGCTGTCACAGATGTGGGCAGTGTCGTCAGCGCACTCCAAGTTAAGTAGTCTTTCACCTGGGAGCAGCTGCATGACTAGGTCATGTTCGCTGAACGCGATCTCCATGACTTCGTCAAAAGCGCAGTTGAAAAGCAAAGGTGACAGCAAGTATCCTTGTCTTATACCGCCGGAGAAATTGAAAGACGGCGACAGCTCGCCGTGGACGTGGAAGCCACTCGCTCGAGGAGCTCATCTCACTGCATCAGTTGCGGTGGTTAGGACACGTATTGCGCATGCCTGTCCAGCGTTACCCCCGTCGTGCGTTGTTTGCACTTGCTGGACAGGGCTGGAAGAGACGGTCTGGTGGACAGCCTACAACATGGAGAAGCCGCATGAAAAAGTTGCCGAAACAGTTGGCCTCGGCCGGTTGTTGTAGACTACATGGTTTGGGTCCGAGAGATGAGGATGCTTGCTGGTTGAAGATCTTGGAAGTTATGGTTCAAGATCGATGTCATTGGCGGACGTGTGCATCGGTCTGTTGCGGTGTCCCTTCTTCCTCCCCCTAAAGAAAAGGAACAAACTGAAAAAAATTTCAAAAACTGTGAGTGGTAAAATAGACAAAAAAGCATTTGTTGTTGCTCTTTTCTTATTATGCATATTGTTTTCCTGTTCAGCCATGATTCCGATGGCACAATATCTGTACCACAGATTGTGTAGTATATATATATATATATATATATATACATAGATCATGGGAATCAAAGGCGGTTGATCGGCGTGCATGGCGCGATCTAATCACGAAGGCAGTTGCTGAAGTGCAGGAGATATCCCTCATGCATGCAGAGAAGAAGCGGCAGTTGCGGAAGCGGCAAGCACCGATGAATTGTACTCCATCGACATCGAGCGCATGGTGCTGTAGAACATGCGGTCGCGAGTGCCTTAATCAGGCAGGCCTAGTGAGCCATGAGAGAGGTCACTCGGGACCACTGCCGAAGCGACGACGGGTCCCGCAGTGAACGTAGGCAGCACCGGCGCAGCGTTTGTAGGCACGCTGAATTCGATTTACTAACCGCATGGTTGCATGCTAAGTCTCTTATTTCAGGTGGTGGGTTTTCGGTTCTCTCCTAATGCCTTTGTTTCTCATATAAATGTCTAGTGGGCCATGAGCTGTGCCATTTGGGGCCACTACAGAAGCGACGACGGGTCCTGCAGAGAATTACGACGAGCCGGCGCAGCGTTTTGTAGGCACGCTGAATTCGACTTACTAACCGCGTGCTTGCATGCTAAGTCTCTTTATTTCAGGTGGTGGGTTTACAGTTTTTACCTTAATGCTTTTCTTTCTCATATAAATATCTCCCTGTACTCTATTCCATTAACTTGCACACATCGCTTCAGCCAATTGTATTCGATTTCCATAACATTTTTGTCTTCGTGGCATTCCGTTAACTATACTTCCTGACCTCGTGCACTTAGCTAGGATTTGATTGTAAACAACTTATTACGTACGCTATTTAATTAAGGTTTATGTCACCGTTTCCTTATGCATTAATCGAGTTTTTCTCTTTTTCTTTCTCTCTCTCTCTCTCTCAAGTGATTGGTTGTTGTTTGATATCCCCGGTGTGGCTGCGCATGTTGACAAGGTGCCTACCTGTCTATTACCCACTACGTCGTCCATACTGGCTCCAGGAGACAGTTGGTCGTTACTGGAGGGGACGGGGTGCACCGTCCTCGTGGCCGTGTTAGGCTCGAAGAGTGGTTCCATGCACTCAGTGTGGAGCGGACTACGGTCCAGCCACCGCCTTGTGTGCGCTTGATTTCCAAAATACAGCGTGATTGTGTTTGCCTGTGAAGGAGTGTGGACCGGCTCCGTTGATGAAACGTGGTTCCCATCCGCATGCCTCCCGGTCTTATTCCTTCGGGTTTACATTGGATATGGGGTGTGTGGTTGGAGCTGTGGGTGGTGCAGCGCAAGCCATCCATGGTCCCTCTGTAGGCGCAGGCGTCCTGTGGCTGGCCACAGTGACAGGCAAATCCGAAATCGGATGCCGCCAACCAACCATATATATATATATATATATATATATATATATATATATATATATATATATATATATATATATATATATATATATATATATACTGCCCGAACTACGCACATATAGCGCTCGGATAATGTTTACATATTTCTTGGACGCCCCGTTCCTGAGTAAACAGTCCCGAAGGTCCGATTGATCCACTGAATCTAAGACTCCTTTGATATATGTGACGGTACACCAACATCTGATGCAAGTGAAGATGTGATCGATTCAGCTCCGACCTCAACGAAACCCTGCTTGCTCGTCAAGATTCTGGCCTTCACGAGTGCTAGTCAGTCTGTGAGGGATGACAGAAGTAAGCAATTTAGAGACGATGGAGATCAGACTGATCTCTCTCTGGTTGCCGCATTCCGAACGTGAGCCTCCTTTGAAGCTCCGGAGCGGCTCCAGTTGGTTGAGACAGTTTACTGCTCCCACAGTTTGTATAATAATTTGTGTAGATCAGAGCAGGGCCCCCAAACTTGAAGAACGCTGAATGAAGCATCTCGTCCTGCGGCTTTATTCAACTTCAGCAGTCCGATCTCACTTGTGACTTCTAAGCGAGAGGGCGGATCCAAAGGGATAGGCTAAGGAGCAGAGCCATCACTGACCGGTGAGGAATCTAACAATTCAGTCCGATTAAATTGCTGTTCGAAATGTTCAGCCCAAGGCTGCAAGCGTTTTGATAACTTGTGAATTGCCTGTCCAACCTCGTCACGTAGAGTTTCACTAACACCAGGTCTCTTACTGTTTGTTTCTCTTATCAGACGGAATGACTTCCGATAGTTACCAACATCAGCGGCTACTTTCACCTTTGGCGCACGATAACACTACCAGGATTCGCGCTCTCTCTTCAGTCTAGCACGGAGTTTTGCCCTGATGCCTTTGCAAGTCTCGTGTTCGCTTCCAACCCGAATGTGCCGGCGGGCATCGATAAGTTCCAGACTGTGAAGAGACCCAATGTCCGTGTTGGTTATTGGATTTGCCTGCCATTGGATTTGGCTGCTGCTAGTAAGGTTTGGTGAACATGCGACCAGTCACCTTCAACTGCATTCAATGAGCGCTTACTCAACCCGACTGCCAGCGTACTTCGACACGCATTCAGAACATCTGTTTTCGCCCGGTTGGTTAATGTTCTTACGCTCGCAGGGTCGTCTTGCGCGTTCGCCAAAACGCACCCGCAGATCAGCACATACAAATGCATCGTCAGTGTCCACACATGTGCGAGCGACAGTTTTGGATGCCACCTCTCCATCGGTAACCAATAGTAATATGATCGATTTTGGTCCATGGTTGCTCCGAGGCTGGTGGGCACCAAGTCACTCTTCTGCGGGTGCTGTCGGAAATTAGTGCTCACAAGAAATAAGCGTGCATCTTTACACAAATGAAATAACCGCTCACCGTTAACATTACGGGAGCCTACACCGTGTTGGTCGCCCAGATACAGTTTATCAATGGACAATTTTCCAACTTAGACTTTTCCGTCGCCATCCAGCACTACAGTGTCCGTGCTTCTTCTGTGACGCAGGAGCTCGTTTACTTGGTGATAGAAGTCGTCTTCTACCGAGTCATCGCTAAAGTTTGTAAGCACGTAACTAACGATGACTAGCACCTTCCAATAAATCCACAGACGTGCGCTGAATCCAGTTGCCACGACTCACGTCGCAAGAATAAGAATAGTAACATCAAGATAGTGGGGTTAAATGTGAATAGAATGGAAGCAAGAAAGAAGTGCATTAACTGAATCACGACGGAACGAGAATTAACAGGAAAATGCGAGAAACTGTATGCAAAACCGCTTTGACTGCGTGACTGCGCCACTTCTGGTACGGTCTCCAACCATTGGTGTGGACCATCCCGAGAACCCGATCCACAAAGACGGCGCGCCCCAAGTCTCCCAGTCAGTTTCTTTATGCCATATCATTGCGGTTCAATGAGAACCACCAACCCCACACACCCACAGATTGTGGAGGAGAACCTCGGAGTTCACCTTGTCAAATGCTATGCTGAAATCCATGTGGTCCAAGTAGTAAAACCCCCTTGATTAGGGTCTTCAGCCGCTCACACCCTGTCACGAGCAAGTTGGTGATGCATGAGCGACTGAGCGACGGGATTTCGGCACTAGGCTGCAGAGTCCGTTTTACGGAAAAGGGAAGCACCCTCACTCCACCCCTTCTGACCATTGACGAATCTGGTATGAGTAGCTTTGCATGTGCAGAAATCACCACTTAGCATAGCTCAATGGATCGCTGAGACACGCACCACGATAAGGTACAGCCTCATTGCGTTGGTTAGGGAAGTGCTGTGTCAGGCGATATAATTTCTCTACTCTTCAGTTTTCTTAGGGCCGTTCCACGTCAGATGAGCGGATTTCGCTGAAATTTTTCGTTTAACAACCTACATGGTGCGCTCAACTAGGTATTATACAACTGTCCGTATTAAGGCCAACTCCGACGGAGAAATGCAGTGCCAAGTAGCGTGAGCCTTTCGAATGGTGTCTTATGCTGCCGTGCTCATCAGGACGCTCGTGTTTTTTAAGCGCTACGGAGTACTTGTCTCAGAGAACATCTAACCGATGGAATTTATTTCTTTGCGTAGCTATGTAATTTCCCACTTTCCATTCCTTCCGAATGGAACAATCTCGCTGCTGTATTCATTCTGAAGGACCTCATGTGATGCGCTGCAATCACTTGCGAATAATGCTCACACTGATCGCTCTATGGATTATTATCGTCTTCCTCTGACTGCCTCATAACTGACAGGCTCACTTTCGTGAGTTTTTGCGGCTAACGCACCGGTACAGAATGTACAGACAATGTGTTGAATAAATAAGTAAGTAGTATGTTTTTCGACTTGACGAGACACGGACCGGTTAAATGGTCTAATCATTTTATACAACCTAATCGGAAAGTAGATAAACTTGTTTCTAGTTTTAAAATGCTCCTAATGGAGTGCTTGGAATATTCTATCAATCAAAAGTAATACAAGATGAAGAGGTTGTAAGAATACATGTAGCTATAGACGGTAGTTCAAATAGAATAATACGACCATCTATGGAACCGTTCGCTCATCCGCGCTACGGATCGCCAACTGCTGTGCGTCTTTACTTCGTGGTTCCTTTCGATTCAGCCATTCGAATCGCTTCACTTACCTAGCTGCTAGTAGACATGTCTCCACTGCCCACGTTCCTCTTAACTTCAATCTGATACGGATTCCCACTGAAAGCCAAGGCTTATAACATACTCTGGCATTCCTTTTTCTCAGATAGATTGCGCCAATATGTCCTGTTTCTCCTGTTTTCCCAGTTTGCACCTGATACTGTCTTCAAGATAATTGCTGATCTTATGCTTTAAGCGACAGAGCTACTTCTATGCACTTGTGTCGCCTGATTGGCGCCTCTCATAGTTATGCTTTTATGCTCTCTAGCCTGAATACTACTCCCTCTGGTTCTAGGTTTTTGTCATTCTGGTGGCACTCTAGCGGAGCCACCTGTCCTTGTATGACTGAGCACTAATAAAAGCGTATGTATTGCTGTTTGTGTTTCCTGCATGTCGGAGCAGTTCGGCAGCTCCAGGCTATCTGCACACTCCGGGTTTGTGGGGGCATGTGTCGGTTCTCACTCCAGAAATGGAGAAACGGAATAGCATCCGCTGGTTTGTCTACACAGACGTTCTAGCTACAGAAAACGAGTGTCTCGATTAGTGATGTGAACTTGGTCGAGTATCTCCCAACCTTCTTTGCCTACGATTAGCTGAATGGATTCTAGTGTACCAGTGCGCTAAACAACCTATTGCACATGTACCGGCTTACTCACATCAGCTCAGCGATGGACTGTGAGTCGTATTACGCCACAGACGATCACTTTGCAGCATATCAACCCTCTCGTTTGCCTACAACTCACCACCGTTAGTTTAGCCATTCATTGTTCTCAGGTAAAGGGTCGATTTCTGCTCAAATTCAAACACTATGTTATGGACATTCTAATATGTTGTGGTATGGTTAACACCGGACTTCTCCCTCCTGTGTAGCACAAGACACTAGCAAAAGCGCCTTCTGAAGGATTATTTACGCGGGTGCCACCGGTTTGTGTGATTACGCTGTTGATGGGTTTCCACGTGACCCTTGTGCTTCTGTTCTTTGGTTTTTTGCTCGTTTCACACAACTTACTTTCTACTACTGCATCCGGATTTGAGACCTACAGCGTTCCCTAGTGGGTAGCTCAACTCAGCTCGTTTAGTAAAACGTGTTCCCATACTGGGTATTTTATGGATGATGTTACTGGTTTCGGAGGCATTAAGACCCGCTTTACCCGTCATCTGCCCCACGTTCCTTTACTACTGTGACATCAGCTGGCTACATTAAACCTTCACCCAGTCTGATACAGCATTGGCAAACAGTACGCACTAAGGTTAATGGTCTCCTTGAGGACAACAATGCTCTCATCGTTGATTTCCTCATGATTTTCTACTAGTACCGGTTATGTTCTGTCACTTATTCATCGTGGGTTTCTCTTTGGGTTCGTCGTTCGTTATCTCTGGATGGGTTCCTCATTCCATCTCTCACTGTAACTAAGCATATGGTCGTTTTTCACTTCATCTCATCTACGTGCTTCACTATTGCAGCATGAGAATTTGTACGCTCGTGTTAGGCCTTGCGTTGGACGATCCGGGCATTCACAGCCACAGACAAGTGTGGAGACGCCATGCTTAACAGACACTGGTGACGGTAAGTTTGGTCGAATACATTCATCGCGTATTATCTGATTGGTATCTTTAGTATTCTTCTTCTCTTTATACACTTCTGAGCTGCATGACTGCGATATAGTCTATTTCTGGGTTGGTTGTAATCTTACTCTTGCATCTCAGATTATTCCTTAAATCTTTTGCTCATGATGTACCTTTTCGGTAAATGGACTCTAGACATCCGTTTAAATGGCAACAACTGCGACTTAGCTAACTATCAGGTCATATGACCCTTCTACGTGCCTTTTATTAGTACTTTTATTGGGTATTTTGGTGCTGTTAACTCACCAGTGTCAAACCAAGTTGAATTTCCATACATAGTTTTTTGGTATATGCATCCAGTTGGTCTCTACGGCCTCATCACGACGACGCATGCCTCATGCTTCGCTTTTGATCCGTTTAAAGTTTTACCCTCATCTCCCTTCTCACTGCCAGATAAACTACATTAAAGATTGAATGAAGCTCGTATTATCATTTATTTCGGTGGCTCTCTCTTTCCAGCGCTTTCTTCCCCTTCGCATGCTAGCGACAGTCCTCCGCTGCCAGAGCGCGCCTATGGACAGAGCGCTATCGAACTGGTCGACCATACTCGCGCATCCAATCTTCATTTCCTTCCGACTAGTGTCAGCAGCACATCTTCCGCTTATCCCGCATCACCGCAGTTGGGTAGGTTATGCTCGTGTTTTCTACATCCCTGAACCTTTTGCTGAATATGGGGCGCACTATGGTCTTTAGAACTGTGTTTGACGACACCATTCAGGAATTTTTGAACCTACAATGCCGTCATTTGTGTGCGCGTTTTCCAGGTTTGGTCACCACAGCCATCCTCCTTGTGGTCAGATACGCAGATCAGTAGCTACAGTCACTTAAGGTGCGTATTTTTATTCAAATTTTGATTTTCCCTTACTATCCGAATTTTGATCGCGCCACAAGCTAAAGTTACTCGGTCCACTCCATCCGATTTATCCTGAGCCCAGATCGCGTCTCCACGAAATTTCATTAACTTTGTTCACTTTATGACACCACAGCCAGTATCCGCCGGGGCCCATTGGCACATGCATAAATTTCGGTTGTTGTACCTCGAACACGTCACTGTTGAATCGCCTGTTATTTGGAACCTATCCTCGTTCACTGAAATTGTTTTCCATTCTAGCTGTACTTAGACATGTGTATGATCAGGGATAGGAAAACCAGCACATGCACCAATAAAGGCTTGTCACAGCCAGTTATTAATAAAATCCTACTATAATGTACGTATATTTCTCTAAGATGTGAGAAACTGCTCCTACAATAGGAACAAATCATTATATACAGAAATGATCATACTCTTGCGTGAGTGCATCTTGACGACTTTTAGATTTCTAGATGTATTTTGGCCCATCTTGGAATATTTTCTCGGGTGATGTGCCGGATGAGATGTCATGGATACTCCTACTTCCGTATCAAAGTATGTAGTTTGGCGTGGAATGGTGTTGGTTGTTCACATGCTTTGGTTATGACTAGCAGGCTGTTACACAAGACGACTTATTTATAAACAGATACATAAACTGTTTATTCCTCGACGTTACAAGACACAGTCCAACTGAGTGGCGTGATCACTCTATACAACAAGATCGCATAAAATAGTTAATTGTGCATGTTTTGTATAAGGAATCCCAAATGGGTTTTTTAACTGATTGACAGTCTGAAGGTATCAGAGTTAGCCAGAAGTTCAATCATGCAACCGTCCCCAGGGGACCTGCTTCCATGCAAAATATTCCCTCGATGGGTTTCTCCCGCACTTCCATGCTCTAACTGGCTGTGTACCGGTGTGGAAAAATAGCATGTAAGCCATCACCTGTTTAACAACTTTTTTTTATAAGGGCTGTTTTATGCATGCATTATGGGCGATGAAGCCTCAGCCCGTTCTGACATGCGGAAAAAGTTAGGCTCATGGTTCTTCTAGCGTTTTTTTGTGAAGTCTGATTAGTATCTTGTCTTATCTCCAAATTAAACAGGCACGAGTAAGTTTTCTGATTGTGTAAGAGCATCAGATTTCGCTTCGGACGTCGCAGCCAGAGGAGCTTGATGTGAATTACCTTATCTTTCGCTTGTGTCGCTTAACCATGTAGGGTACACACCGGCGTCTTTGCTTTCGGCATATAAGTGGGTCCCGTCAGTGTGACTTCTGTACCAGCCCTTACTTCATGCACAGTGCCATTGAGCTGCCCATATCAGACAGACAATTCCGTTCCCAATCAGTTTTGTTAGTTCTATCGCATGGTTATTTATTCATCTGACTTACTTGCATATCGTCGTTGCTTGACTCCGATGGCTAAGGTTTGTTTTGCACTTCGCCTCCATACATGTTGATCAACAAACGGAATAGAGTGTGCATCCCGTAAAATACTATGACCGTGTTTTTTGTACATATGAGGACGTCAGTCATCCGGTCAGCTCGATTGCCGACTGATCAGTTTCATAAAGCATCTCGTGTTTACACTCGTTTTCGTTGTTTATTGCTTATGTTTTATGCCGTGGTATCGAACTTGCTACCCAGCGCATTGGTTCACATCTTTTGGCCTGTGCGACTCGACAGCATACCACTTAATGTAACGGTCGGGTTTTGACTAGGAGACGCGTGCTGCTAAGTGTTTTGTTTCGGATCGTATTAGATCCGACGGAGGCTCATTTAAAGAATTGTAAATTGTTGTCTAAAATTTTACCATTAACAGTAGTAATTCATCTTCCATTCTGCAGTGGTGCATCCGAGAATCTACTTACTTCACCTGCTTGTTAAGCACCCTCATTTCTGCTTTTGGACATACCATTTTCTCCGCTTTAGACTTTCGGGTAGCATTTTACTCGATCTAGTAGTTTTCTGCATCATATCCTTTGCTAACGAAAGGAATCTTCTACACTTGTGCTATTACACTTCCAGCGCAATGCTTTCCTGTCCGGGAAACGGTGGAGACTTATGGGAATCTCTGTCGCCATTCGCCTTCCATCCATGTGCATATGGTGGATTTCTTGTGTCCCTATTTTTTCTGCTTCATCAGTGTCACCGGACTTTAAAACGCTAAACAAATAAATGGACAAATATTTCGTCGACAACCAGGATACGTTTCGTAATGGATTTGTCTGTCGCTAGTGCCAGCAATTTGTCAGCCGGTGGCCGAGTGGTCTGCACGTTTGGTTTGCATTCATAAGTTCACCAGTTCAAATCCGCGTAGGGGTGGACGTCCTCGCGGTATACTCAGCCCTCCCGCGACTGGTGGTGGTCGCGCGGCAGCGATGTGCCGTTACGGCGTACAGCTGACACATTTATTATTATTATTAGTGCCAGAAAATCAGTGGCAAATATATAACATTAAGACCTACAAAGTTGCCCACTTCTCTGTGTTGACCACCTTACCAAAACTTGTATGTGGACCACCTCTAAGTTTTATATTCACCACTTGGTCTATGACAGTCAGTAATAGTTCAACCTCCATAAGTTGACTATTTGAAGGCTTAACATCCAGTTACTTCCGTTAGCACAGTGTGCAGCGGGACTGAAATGTTTGCACTTCTGACCCCAAATCAGTGAACTTTACGATTGAGGATACATCACATTCTCTGCGTGTATGTGTACAGTTAATCCCAGAAGTGTTATCCCATTTTATTCTGTTACTCGGGGCCCAACGGTCGCGAGTGAGAGGAGAGCGCACTAAATTGCCAACGATCCCATAGTAGATGTTGGTTTCTCTCAAAATGTCCCTCACCCGGTCACATGGGTGTGAACGACTGGAGCGATGGCTGTATGCCTGCCAGTCTCGTCCATCATGAAAACGCTTTATGGGCGCGGCTCGTTGAGTTCGCTGATTGATACATACCGTGTTTCGGGCTGGTTGGAACGAAGACAGGCGTGCAAACTCAAGATAGCAGTGCATCAGTACCGGGCTACTGCGGTAGAATTTTGATGGCGCTTGGGCAGACCTAACTGGTCTGTGCAACGAGTGTTCAATAGGTGCTTATTGTTATCCCAGCTAATGACAAAATGGTTATTGACAACGCTTTTGTAGACGGAAAGTTAGCTTCCAACAACCCATCTTATCAAAAGAGAGATTCATCACAATTAGGCCTTGCACATATGAAATGTAACGTGTTGAGAAAGGAGTCTTGAAAAGCTATGCCCCCTAAAGACTGATTGATGCCACATAGCCTGTTCTTCCGTCACAGTCTTGATTGCAATTGCGGAAAACAAGTGGGGGTACGCTGCCCAATTTGTTTCAGAATGACCGTGAAGATCTGGAACATTGACTCCACTGCGGCCCATGAGCGTTCCTTCCAACATATTCACTGATGAGGCAATATTGCATTAGCATGAAACTGAGAAGCTACATTTCTAGGCAATATCTATTCCTCGCACATACGGAGATTCACATATTCCACAAGGCGCGAAGCTCATTGGTTCGCAAAACTGATTGAGCAATCGTGGGACCACAGCAAACACATGTGGGTGCCAACACATACTGTCCACCACAAGCCAGTTATCCCTGTGATATCTATTCTGACACATATTGCTGCAAACTCTGAATATCAAATTCAAAAGGATCGATAAGCCACGCTTTCACGGTCTGTGTCCTTATTGCAAAATCGTGGGACCATCTTTCTTTCCCCTTTATGTGACCGGTATGTTATTGTTTAGAAGCACTGATCCAACGCCAGTTTGTACGCCGATAACCGCGATAAATAAATAAATAAACAAATTGTATATTCCTCGACGATGCGAGAAGCTGTTCCCTAGAAGGAACAGATCAAATAATGGTACAACCTTTCCATGACATTGCATTGATACATTTTCGGAAATAAACATGGGCGCAATTGCAAATTAGGTAACACAGAGTAATCAGAATCGTTCTGCTATTTTTTTCCTGCCATTGAATCAGGATTCTTCACAATCACATGACAGATATTTGGGCCGAGAAAAAATAGTGATGAAAAGATTGTTGTCCGAAATGTTATGTGTATATGTTTAGGAAATTTATTCAGGCACCATAGATACCGTTTTCGGATGCGTTATCTATGGCTTGTGATGTCCCGAACATTTTAATCACATTTCGTACGGTTAAATGCTTACTAATGGCAAGCTTAAAATTGCAAAGTATGTAGCTTGTTCTGAAATCACTTGGAAGTTTGTTCCAAACCTTTGAGTATTGGGTTAGAAAGAAACGTTCTTTGATTCGCGTAGTAAATTTTGGAATTATGACCTTTACCTCTTTGTTACGTATTGAATATCTGCTGTCTAAGGTGCACACCGCTTTCAAGTCTGCGAATGTGACAATTTATGATTTTGTAAAGAACACATAGGTTCAGCTTGATTATCCGAAACCAGACTGGGTCAAATCCAAGTTTATCACATCGCTCTCTGTATGTGAACTTTGAGGAATAAACACATAGCTTTTTCGTGAAGCGTCTCTGGACCCTCTCAAGAGCGTGCTGGTCAGATTTCCGCAGATTAGACTGTACCATTGAACAGTATTCCATACACGGCAATACATATGTTTTGTAAAGTGATATACGAGATTCCGTGAGGTAAAAATGATGGCAGATATAACCGGTGGTCTTCATGGCTTTCGAAACTTGAAAGTTACGGTGTTCAGAAAAGTTAAAGGTGACTGAATATCGCACCTCCAAGTCGCGAATTTCTCTGCATTGCGAAATATATGCGCGTTAT